ACGTTATAATTATAATTTGAAAAATAAGAAAATGGATTTAGGATGGAGATTATATTTTACTGATACGGTATTCAACGTAGAGTAGAGGACAAAAATATTATATCTTACTAACATAACAAACTTATATTAAATTTTTGGTACATATATTAAGTTCAAATTAACAGTCTTCAGTCCATGAAACCCGAATCCATGATTGGATTGCTTCGATTGCTGCTCATTGTTGTGAGTTTGCTCGCTTTCATCGGATTTTGGAATGTCTACGTCGTTCTCATCGAGCCATTCAACATCATGGTGCTCTAAAGTTTGAATAATGCACATCAGTTCATTAGCACGACGAGCAGCGACTCTTACAGGTCTAACTTTCCTATCAGTGTGCTGTGTTTACTTTTTTATGGATATTTTCGATGTGACGATTTAGTGCCTTGACGGAAGCATGATAAAGACCACACGTTTTGCATGTTCGACTTGATAGCCTCAATTTTACCGTCGGACAAGAATAATCGTAGGGCCTTTGCAGGAAATCTTTGAGTGAAGCACTTAAGCGCAGAGCTAAATTGACTGGAAGATTAAGAAATTGCCCTCCTTCATCCAAAACCAAGTCATCAAGTGTTCCTTTTACTTTTACAGGTGGTGGAAGAAACCTATTGTCTAGCAATCTGAATAGGCCACTTCTTGGACGACAGCATTCTGTATTTCGACATTTTACAATTTGAAGCAAGTATTGGCTCTCAGGCACATGTTCTGAATACCATTTAATGTCTGGAAAATCAGGAAGATCTTGTTCACCTGCCGCAACATATTTTGCATTAACATTATAGCCATCAATTTCCATTGAACTCCATACTTCAGCTAATACATTTCCTGCAAATTCGAAATTAGATTTTTCTAAATGTTCATCAATTGTAACGCCACGTTCATAGAAATGAGACCCAAAAAGGTCATGAGGCAATATTAAACCAGCCAGTTCCCGACTAAGAGGAGCCATTCTGCGCTCTACTCTGTTATATGCACTTCTTCCAGGAGCATTGGTAGCTAAAAACAATGCATCGAGATCATGTCGTTTAAATTGTTGTATAGCAAACCCTATGACTTTTTGATAACGTGGATTTTCATCTGGCCCTCTATCAACCGTCATGATTACCACTGGTTTTACTAGTCCATGGTCAGTTTTAGCTAATGGTCGAAACTCTTCAAATTCGAGAAGCGTCTCGACATCCTGAGCATGAGTATTAGCAGTAGATGAACTATACTTTCCACTTCGAATAGCGATGTATGTTGGTCCAGCATATCCAACGGCTTGCGGTTGTCCTAGCATATTGGAAGTGATTTTGATACCAGCATAAACAGATGGTATTAATTTATGACGCTCAGCGATTACCCAATCGTGATCAGGCAATTTGATTCTATATTCCATGTGCATTAGAAGAGGTGCTTGCTTATTTGCCGCAGTTACGCCAATAGGGACTCGAGCTTAATCATCTTGAGATATGAAAAATACTTGATCTGGACCAAGTAGGGATGCTATGTTCTCTAAATATTGGATTGATGTTTCAGCGAACTTGCTATCTAAGTGGCTCTTGTGGTGATCAGTTTGAGCCCGAATGAGCTTAACAGGGACTGTCGATACATGTCTTCGTCCCTCTGCAGAATTAGATTTGCTGGGAATCAAACGAAGATATGTCCCACTGCGACTAATGTCAAATCCTATTTTATGTAATTCTTGCGTGAGTTCATCAAGAGCTTTTACGCTGCGAATTGATTCCGTTCGTCTTCTATCATCTGCTGCGCTCCCAAATAAAGCTATATCCGCGATTGTTTTCAATACTGAATATTGATTGCTTTCAAGATTAGGACGTCCCACTGAATCCCTCAGAGATAGTATTTTTTTTATTTCTGGATTTTCATGACAAATATCTTCTAACTTTCTTTTCATACCATCCCTGTGTTTCTTCTGGGCAACTGCGTTTTGAACCTTCCTGTTTAAAGACTGTTTTGCTGTTTTTTATTTCCTCCCGCAACTTAATGATCTGTTTATCAACTTCAGCACGGCCTGGGATAGTATCTCTGGCAGAATACAAAGCATTCGAGTAGAGCAATCTTATTTTTCAAGGCTCCCTGAGAAGGTTTTGCTCTCTGTTTATCTGTATTTTCATTAATTTCGCATTGTTGTTGTGATTCATTACCGGGTTTTATTTTATCTTCTTCCTCTTTTTTAATATTTCAAGCTGAATATATAATTTGTGTTTTTTTCTGCAGGTTTACAGGTTGCCTAAAAATAAAAACTTTCTATGGCTTCTGCTAAAGATTCTCTTATTAAGCTACATAAATACAAAGTATGGCAATGTATACGGTAAATACAAAACCCTATGGCTTTAAATCTAATATGTTTAAAAGAGCAATTCGTTCCGGTCAAAAATACAGGTTGTTAGTTTTCTGTATATATACTAAGTGACATATAAATCCGAACACCCAGTTTAAATGGTTTTATTTTAATAAAATTTTGTATAAGTACTTAATGAAGCATAATAAGTAAATGATAAAAATTTCAAAATGATTGCACTGCTTTAAAGCCCTTTGACCTTTAATAATGTGTGGATGCACCCTGATGTGCTACACATTCTCCAACGCGCCTAGGCATGCTTCTGATCAGGTGGTCAATGTCCTCCTGTGGTATCTCATTCCAGGCAACCACCAACTCCTCTCGAAGTGCTTCTAGAGTCTGAGGAGGACGTTGCAAATTGAGCAATCTCCTACCCATCATATCCCACACGTGCTCAATTGGGGATAAGTCGGGAGATCTTGGTGGCCATGGTAACAATGTGACATCACTATGTTGAACGTAGTCTATTGTGACTCTTGCAACATGTGGTCAGGCATTATCTTGTTGGAAAGTTGGATCTGCCAGGGTGTCAAGATAGGGTAAAAGATGGGGTTCTAGAACTTCGTGGATATAACGCTGCGCGTTCAAGTTACCTCTGTTGAAGATTAAAGGTGACCTGGAACCATAAGCTATAGCACCCCCAACCATAACTCCAACAGTGTGATGAACATGTCTTTCAACAAAAAACTGTGGATTCCTCCTTTCACCACGTCGCCTTCTAACCCTGGCACGACCATCGTGCATGCCTAAACAAAATCGAGACTCGTCACTAAAGGCAATACTGTTCCATTCCTGATCCCAGAGTGACCGTTGTCTGAACCACTCAAGGCGATTACGTCGGTGTTCTCGAGTTAAAGGGAGGACCCAGTGTGGAAGGTATGAAAACAAGCCAAGACTTCTCATTCGTCGGTAAACACTTTGCATGCCAATAGGTCTTCCGTGTTCTGCAAACCATTCATTTGCAATGGACCTGGTAGTGGAGAAACGGTCCCTTAAAGCCAATAACCTTAGGCGGCGATCTTCACGGTCTGTTGTTCTACGGCAGCGTCCAGTGCCCCTTGCTCTTTGCGTAGGGCCTTCTCGAAGCCATGCCTGACAACACCTAACCACAGTGTCTACACTTCTTTGCACTCTAACTGGAATTGCCCGAAAAGAAGGTCCAGCTTCCCGAAGTCCCACTATACGGCCCCTATCAAACTCACTAAGTTGACGAAATCGTACAGGTCTCCGTACTCTAGGCATCGTAACCGATCGTAAAGGATGTCAAGAACCAAAATCCGCCAACGTTGATTCTTTACTGCGGCTGAAATATTCATTTTTAGAGCGTTAGTGAATTAAAAAAAAGCAGTATAAAAACCGGAATGTCCAACTGATAAGGCTGAAAATTTTTTCACTTGTTATTTACAGTAAGATAAATACATTCACCAACTTTTATTAAAATAAAACCATTTATACTGGGTGTTCGGATTTATATGTCACTTAGTACATGTATAAAACTAACATCCTGTACTTTGTGACCAATTGACGGAATCAATCATAAGAAATAAATCTATAATATGATGAACATTACCTCTATACTTTGAGATAGGCCATAATATTTTCTAATCAGTAAAGAAAAACTTTTTGGCGATTTCTAAAATTTCTAGTACTCATAGGTACCTAAAATGATTTCGTCACTCACCTTAGAAAAAAAATTTAGTAGTTTGGATTATTCTTAGTCGCCGCTTGCAATTCTTGTTCGATTCTCTTAGATACAATAATATCTAGTTCCTTGTCGGATTTTGCTTGTAATTTGTAATTTCGCCACACTTCGTTAACTAACTTTTGTACATTTTGTGCTTTCGTACTTGTTTGAGATTTTTAAAACTTTCAAACTATTTTTGGTATAACTTGGATTTGTCTATGTGAAACGACATCTTATTTAAACATTAAACTTTGGCTAATGGAATCAATGGTAACACAAATGTTAACTTGCTTCAATATGCTTACAATACGCCTACTCGCTATAGTATCCAAACGAAACAATACACTGATAGAAGAAATTTAGACAAGTGAACACCGCGCGGTAATTCCCCTACTCGGTTCTAAAGCGAGTAGGGGAATTACCGCGCGCTGTTCACTAAACGTATGCATTATTTGCGGGAATCCCCGAAAATGCGTTTCGTTTTCAAGCAAAGACAATGTGAGGGTTGCCATTCGTGTAAAAAAGTAAATAACTACCGATGACGTAATCATAATCTAGACTCCCCGACCCCCATGTCATCCAAAATAGGCAAAGAAAAGACCCCCCCCATAGTGCTGACGTAATACTTGACGGCCCCTTATGCCGACTTCCGAAGAAATGAAGCTCCCATTCAATTTATCAATCTCAGAAAAATTTCATGTTAAAACAGTACACTAATGTATCTACGTCTTTTTGATGCCATCATAGTATATGAAAAATTGAACACATTTGATCAATACCATAAACGTCCCCTACTAACATCTAACTGCAATCATATGAGTTCACGCATACAGTCCCCATCACTTGAAGAGGATCTTACCTAATCTGCCGAGATCTTCTTCGGCGTCGTCCGCGTATAAAGCCGTCGGATCCATTCCTAAATTGCATTGTTTCGCGGTAATTGTTGTCGAGATTATATGAACGGGCGTCATCATCAACGGGCCACGCTTTGACGCAACCCCGCACATCAGGAACTAGTTACATTAGGAGCTAGTGATGCACACGCTGATCAGATGCAACGGCGCGCCGAGTCCGTTCGTGTTGCTGTTCTTTCTCTGTGGATACGCTCTACGATTGGTCCTTAGCGTAAGTCAAAACTTGGTGTCAAGCAGGTTGATTCTGCGATCTGTTAGATTATACTCGGTTTAGTTCCAAACGTAACGCTGTACAGGGTGGCGCATCGAAAACGAAACAGACGCAGCTCATTTTTTTTTTGGAAAATGCTCAGACCTGTCGATTTTGTTTTCGAGGGGGACACAAGTTAGGCAAAAAATCGCGTTAACACGTGCAGTCCCCTGGGCGGGGGTGACACCAAGCCTAAAATGTATTAGGAAAGGGGGGTGAGTGATACCTTATTTTAAAGGTCTTTCAATTCCCTTTATAATGATGTAAAATACATGATCTTCAGTTCAGTAGTTTTAAAGATTTATTGATTTAAAGCTTAAAGTAGACTTTAATAGGTACATCAGATTAGTTTGTACTACTTTCAGAAGAAATTTGACTAAAAGAATTTACTTATGTAAATCACAGTAAGTTTGTTTGAAAAAATAAAAAGTAATATATACAGGGTTATCCAAATTAAGTGTCCACCATTGGTAACTTTGTTATTAGTAAAAATACAAAGTTGTTTAAATTAGCAAACTAGTAGCATTTTTAACGCTGGTAAAAATGAGAAATAAAAAAAAACAATTGAGAGTCGTTATTTTGATTTTTTTCAGTAAAATAACATTTTTTTAAATGGAAACCCCTGTATATTATATTTTTTTCTGTTAAAGCATCAAATTTTAAACAAAAAAGTTCATAATGACTTTTCCGCTAAAATAAAGTCAAAATAACGATAAATATTTTTAATTATTTGCAGTATTATAATATTAAGACGGCTATGAAAACAACATGGCGTTCGCGATTTGACAGCATTAAGATAAGCGACAAATTGTTAAACTGGACATACTCGCAACTAGAAGGCTTTGGAAAACAATGATAAAATCAAATAATGTCAAACATTAGTGTAAATACTTGTTTATAGGCTTTATTGTGTCATTAATTTAAAGAAAAATGTTCTCCTATGAAGAAAAGTGTGATATGTTAGAATGCTATTTAGTGTGCAGAAAATCCTCCTTGAGAGCAAGAGAATACTACAGTGAATTATATCCCGCTCGCATTCAACCGTATGAACGATATTTTCTGAGACTTTATCGAAAATTTAGGGGCAACGAAAATGTTTTTGCTAAAACAAGGGCAAAAAAAGAATTCATAATAAGCGAGGCCACGGAAATTGCAGTTATTGGATATTTTGAAGCTTATCGTGAGAATTCAATAGCAGATATTCTCAAGGACTCTAATTTCAGTTATGGTACCGTTCAAAGGATTTTAAAAAAATACAAATTTATTCCGTATAAGTACCGACCAGTTCAAACGCTTTTGGCAGGGGATCCAGAGAGAAGACTTGTTTTTTGCCATTGGTATCTTAGCTTCTGTCGCCAAAATGTAAATAACTTTCGTTACCTTTTATGGACAGATGAATCAAATTTTTCAAATTCTGGAATGTTTAATAGAAAAAACCACCATTATTGGTCAAGAGAAAATCTTTTGTTAGTACATCCAAGAGGCCCACAAGTCCGTTTCAGTTTCAACGTTTGGTGCGGTATAATTGGTTCAAAAATTGTTGGCCCGTTCTTTTATGAGGGAACCCTAACTGGTGAAAGATATGTGGAATTTATGTCAGAAATTCTGACTAATTTCTTAGACGAATTGGATCTTATAAGTAGACATCATCTGCATTTTCAGCAAGATGGCGCACCTGCCCACAACTCCAGAGGTACTTATCATTTTCTAAGTACTACTTTTAATGATCAGTGGATAGGAACAAATGGCCCAATACAGTGGCCTCCCAGATCACCAGATCTAAACCCACTTGATTACTTCTTGTGGGGTTACTTAAAGAACCAAATTTACAAGCGAAGGTACGATAACCTTGACGCGTTAAAGACTGCAGTTAGGGAAAAGATAACCCAGATAGATGGTAGGACCATACTTAAGACAGTTCGAGCAGTTGAAAAACGTGCCCAAAAATGTATTGAAGAACAAGGTGGTGTTTTCGAGCATCTTCTTTAAAAAAAATTGTTATTGTATTTTGTAAGATTATAAGTTGATGTTGAAAATAAAGTTTGTCGATACAATTTAATTGTTTCAGATTGGAGGCCATAACTTCAACAATTTGTAACCTAGGAGAAAAGTTATTGTAAGCTTTTTTGTTTTAAAATTTGATGCTTTAACAGAAAAAAATATAATATACAGGGGTTTCCATTAAAAAAAATAACGACTCTCAATTGTTTTTTTTTATTTCTCATTTTTACCAGCGTTAAAAATGCTACTAGTTTGCTAATTCAAACAACTTTGTATTTTCACTAATAACAAAGTTACTAATGGTGGACACTTAATTTGGATAACCCTGTATATATATATGTAGATATGCATAATTAAAAAAAACAATCTTATAAACAAAATAGAGAAAAGCAAAAAATAAGTAAAAAGTATTGGTTAAAAAAAACTTTAAAAAAGGAGAAATATGTGTTCGCATACTCTATGTAACTATAATAGAAATAATATACAATAGTAATATTAAGTAATGGATGTTCTATTTTCTATTAAAGCATAGCATTATACTGAACATAAGGATCTGGCCAGTTGGTTATCGACCAGTGCCAATAACAGAACAAAAAAAAAATAAATTAACTTAATAAGTAAATGCTTTTCTTCACTACGCCCATGGTTTGTTTATCATTTTGTTGTTGAAAATAGCCATTGGAGCGTTTTTTTGTGGCAAAATAGTTATTTTGTTGATCATACTTATTTTAAATAGGAATTTTGCGATTGATTTGATCAAACTTTGTTGCTAAAATAACTTGTAACGCTTTATTACATAAATTAACCACAGCAGAAAGAGTTGAAATTATCGAAATAGTTTTCGGAAATAATCAGTGCGCTAATAGAACAGCAGAAATATTTAATGAGCGACATGAGAACAGTAACGTGCATCGAAAGTATGTTCTAGAACTTGTAGCTAAATTTCGGGAAACTGGGTCAGTCGCCAATAAAAAACGCAACATTGAAAATCCCATAAGGAACGAAGCAATAGAAGTGGGGGTTTTAGGGCAAGGTTATGTAGATCCTACGTTAAGTACCCTCAAATTGGAGACTGTGTGTGGTGTTAGTCGACTTACTTTCCAACGGATTCTAAAGGCCCATAGTTTTCATCCGTATAAAATTCACCTGGTACAAGACGATTTTGATCGGCGATTACAATTTTGGGAAGATATGAGTGAACGAATTATAAACGATGAACATTTTCTATTCAACACTTGCTTTTCCGAAGAATGTTCCTTTTTCTTAAATGACGTAGTAAATCGTCATAACTGCCGATACTGGTCCGATTCTAATCCCAGAATTTATCATGAGGTTCATGCTCAGCAGCCACAAAAATTAAATGTTTGGGCTGGTATTTTTGGCGACCATTTAGTTGGTCCCTTTTTCTTACCTGGAAATTTGACCGGTGAAATGTATTTAGAATTACTGGAAGACGCCATAGATCCTGCATTAACAGCCATAATTGAAAATCAGAATGATCGGTGTTACATTGCGAATAGGTTGTATGTTCAAACAGGAGGGTGCCCCACCACATTACGCATTACGTGTTCAACAATATTTAGATCAGACGTTTCCAGATCGATGGATTGGTAGAAGTGGTGCCATTAAATGGCCCCCAAGATCGCCAGATTTATAACCTTTGGATTTCTTTATGTGAGGTCATTTAAAAAGCAAAATCTATGCTACTCGGCCAACATCATTAGAAGACCTGCGTCACAGAATTGTGAATGAGTGCCTTCAAATTACTCCTCAAATATTGCAAAATGTGCGGCAACGTTTTGAACAAAATCTTTAGAGAGATAGATAGATGCTTTATTGTCTTCGGATCATAGAAATGATATAAGACTCGTCAGGCATATCACTATGAGTACATTATTATCTACAAAAATTAAAAATATAGTTAAGTATAAATACATAAATTTGTCGGTTTAAATGGAAAGAAACACAGTTTAGTCGAGAAAACAACAGATACTATAATAATAAACAGAACAAGGTGTAAAAGAAGTAAGTACAATAAAAATAGAAAAAAAAAATAGGTACGCATATACGAGTAAATATAGACACACATATATACACATACATATATATAGACACACATACATATACATATATACATATACATATATACACACATATATACAGCCATAGTTTCCTATTTAATTTTTTGGTGCATCACTCTTACCCTGAAAGAAACTCGGCTACTGTGTAATAGCATCTTTCTATTAACAGACTCCTCAGCTCTTTCTTGAACCTATTTGAGCATCTAATATCTTTTAGTATTGATGGCAACTTATTGAATACCTTGGTGCAGGCGTAGGCTGGTGATTTTTGAACATTTATTATTGCATGGAGAGTCATGGTGGCCATTTTCAACATCTACTTGCCTAACGGGTCAGTTCGTTCTTCATTTTTAAATTACTTTGCTGCCAAATGTATTGATCTCCACTAATGATGATGTATTAGTTTTATTTAAGCTTTAAATCAATAAATCTTCAAAACTACACAACTGAAGTACATCAATTTTATATCACTATAAAGGGAATTGAAAGACCTTTAAAATAAGGTATCACTCGACCCCCCTTTCCATTTAAGATTTTGGGGGTGGTGTCACCCCCGCTTAGGGGGCTGCACGTGCTGACGTGATTTTTTGCCAAACTTGTGTCCCTCTCGAAAACAAAATCGGCGGGTCTGAGCGTCTTTCAAAAAAAAAACTGAGCTGTAAATGCGTCTGTTTCGTTTTCGACGCGCCACCCTGTATAATAATTATTATTATTATTCACTCAACGTACAAGGAGAACATAATTGACTAATAATTTTAAGTTGCAAATATAGAACACAAATTACAAAAAAGGGCCAAAAATAGTCACAGCAGATGTTTATGTTCGGATGTATCAGTTTATTTATAATTTCAGTCCAGGATTATAGAATGTAGCCACTTT